CGGAAGAGCATGTGCCTCTGTCATCTCAACGCGGTCCTACACTCTCTTCTGGACTCCTTGTTGATACTAATTTGGATACATCCAGCCCTGACACTTACAGACCACCTCCTGCACCGATGCCATATGATGTGGCTTTTGGACGCCCTCATTCTCCACCGGTGGCTCAAGAAATTAGTGTTGACAAAAACGGAGCGACAACACAGACAACAAATTCTGATACTGTTCAAGAAGCCGGTGGTGGTAATGTTCAAGATCCTTCAGTTAAGTGTGAAGACTTGAAGGAATCAGACTGTAAAGCACAGACTGATCTTGAACTTGACGACACAAAGGAGGTGGAAGTTGAACTCTCGAAGTCGGTGGATGCCGTTGTTTTGACAACTGAGGAAGAGGATGTTTGTCCAATCTGTTTGGAGGGTAAACTCGTTATTGCAAACTGTATTAGATTTCTTATCCCATAAAGCTTCTTTGTTAGACCTCCTATTGTTAATTGCATCGGTCCTTTAGTTTTTGCAATTTTGTATTCATTATTCTTTCTTTCCATTTGTCAGTGATAACTTGACATTCTTTCGAAGAATTTTGAGAATCGGTTTCAGCCATTTTCACTTCTTTGCAGAGTATGACACTGAGAACCCAAAACTTACCACAAAATGTGAGCATCATTTTCACCTTGCGTGCATTCTTGAATGGATGGAAAGAAGTGAAGCCTGCCCTGTCTGTGATCAGGTTAGAGTTAAAACGTTCTTTACTTTGTTTTGTTTTTTTAATTGTTATATCATACATCCATTGTCATTCATAATTCTTATAGGGAAATTTGTTTCCCTTCCGACGCAGGAAATGACATTCGATCCTCCTATCGATTCCTAGCAGTCGGCAACACGTTGAGTACGGTTTGAGAAGCATAGCATACATTTTCGATAAATCCCGCAGTTTTTTTTTTCCTTGTCCACAGTTAAGTGGCAACCTGATATAGGTTGTCGATTGGTTTTGTTGGTCAGTGCATTGGGCATTCATATCGTCAGAAAACAAAGAAAAAGAAATGGGCAATAGAAAACAAGGATAGTTATTTTTCCTTTTTTTTGGGTGGTGGTGGTGGAGGATAGGAAGATCTTGAGAAAGGTGTAACGCTGATCTTAAGGTTCAATTTCTGCTTTCACTGCATTGGGATAATATTTGTCTCATTTAGTTGTCTGAAGTTGATTAGTTCTCAAAACAAATAGGTGGTAAAAAGAAATTCTACATGCTTTTGTCATCTCTCTCTTTCTGCGAGTATAGAGTTTTTCACGAGTCTGCTTGGATATTGTCGTTTCGTGTTTTTGCCGTTCGCATTGGTCCTGTAAATGGCATATAGTTTACACACTGGGTTCTGGGCTGGTGGACAAAGGGGATTTGATCAGTGTAATGGAAGATGGAAGGATCTTATGAAAAGCACATGGTTGTATTCCAGATAATTCATGTATATACATCTGATTTTTGCACCAAGATTGATTAGCAGTTAGCTCATTCATTTTCAATGGTCAAACATTCAGTTTTGTGTTTTCTGCACTTGAAAAAGTATAGTTGTTGACCATCTTGATTTTAAAAATTTAACCAACTTTGCTTTACAAAGAAAAGATTAGCCTTTTTTTTTCTGCAGTGTTGACTGTCTTGTCTGGTGAAGAGGGAGAAAAAATCATTTGAGGATATGGGGTTTTAGTTTTGAATTTAGAAGACAACAATTGTAAACAGGTTAAAAGCGTTTTGTTGGATCGACCCTAGTAAGTAGAAATGTACTACATCCAATAATGTTGAAAATATTGGATTTGGTTGTTCTCGTATTTTCATTACATATATGGCATTTAAATGGATTGATTTCGGTCCGTTTAGCAGGGTTTTTGCTTTTGTTTTTAGCCAGTAGAAGAAGAGAAGTAAAAAATGTAACTTTTCAACAAGTCTTTGGAACAAAGAGCTTAATGAGTCAAAGTGATTTTTAAATTTTCTAATAAGCAACAAAAGTGTTGGAATTAAGTTTATAATGCCTTAATTAAACTTTAGTATAAGTTTTAAAGTTTATTTATAAGTTCTTTTTTTAAAGGTTACAATTTCTGACTTTGATTGGAAGCTCTTCTGAAAAGTCAAAGCACTTCTGACATATTATTTAAGCACTTTTAGAAGTAATTTTTGGATCTAAGAAGTCAAAAATAGCTCTTAGAAAGCACTCCTAAACAGGTCTGAAAAAATATATATTAGAAACTATTTAAGATGGTGAAAAATATTACTTATATTATTTTACTTAAAAATAAACAATTGTTCATTCAATTAATAAAGATAAAATAAAAGATTATAATAGATTATATATGACATTTTATTATTTAGAATGATATAAATTATAGGCTTATATTCATGATAAATTATGTAATTTTCTCGATAAGTCATTGCCTTCTTCAATTAACGATTCATTGTGATAAATTATTGCTTTCTTCTATCCAAATGATTCATTGTACAGAAGCTACTAATGGCAAAATAATAATAATAATAATAATAATAATAAATAAATAAATAAATAAATAAAGGAATGAATGAAAAAAAAAAAAAAAAAAAAAAACCCATAACTACAAATTAGAGAACCAACGTGTTAGTTGTTGCTACCTTTTGTAGCGTGGCAGTGAAGGTAAGAAATTATTATACAAATGAACGTTTTTTGGTTTCGTAAATTCGGTTAAAATGTTGACAGGGAAAATAAAAACAGGTAATAGATAATTATTTTGCTGAGAAAATGGGCAATAGATAAATTGGTATCAGATTCTTCTTCTTTTTTTCTTAGGATATTTTTGGCCAAAACATGTATTTAATTCGGGGAGAATTAATGAAAACTAAGTGGCAAAAAGGGATTAAAAGATGCAAGTGAACGCCTGAAAAAGGGTTATTTTTTGTAGGTCAAAAGAGTAATACTAATTTCAAAAAGAAAAAAGCATCATTGGAATGTCATATAAGAGGAAATGGTTTAACTCCAATTTGTACGTTACGATAGACGATTGTAATCATCGTCAATTTCCTAAACTTTTAACTACACCTATAATGTTGAATTCCATTTAGATCTTATCTCTATAATTATTCAGAGTGACCAATAATTGAACTACATAAAATTCTTTTTTATTTCCATAGTTGCTGTGTTATTAATACTGTTCCTTATCTCATGTCATTATTTTCTCTTACCTTTCTTAAATTAAAAATATAATTAGCTGCCCTTCAAAAAAAATAAATAAATAATTAGGTGGGCTTCGTTTAAATTCCATCATTTTAAAAAGAAGAGAGAGAGACTATATCCCACCAATCATTTTTCCAAGATTTCAAATAAATATCACAGTACTAAATGAACAATTATGGACTATTAGATCTAAATACAATTTAAATCGGTTAAATTTGTCTTGATTCACCTAGGGTAAGTATTTCGTATCATAAAATTATGTAGAAAAATTTACGACGCTGCGTAATCTTAAGGGAGATTCTTTGGATTTTGAATAGATTTAACGATTAAAAATTTAATCCCATCGTCGGAAGTCTATCGAAAAAATTGTATATTATGTATATTTTTTTAATTTAATGTGATTTTAACTAGATCTAACGGTTAAAAATCAAATCTTACAATCAAAAGCTTATCGAAAAAACTCCCTAATTTTAAACCGTAAATTTTTTTATTAAATTTATATATATTTTTTGATATAATCTAACGGTCTGTAGCTATAAAATAATTGATAGGGTAGAAAATGTTTTCCTAATTTATAAGCCTATCTCTCTATTTTGTATTGAATAATACTATAAGATACTAATAAATATTTAGCACCACTTATTGAGTCCGTTTGATTGAAAGATTCGTTTTCTGATTCAAATTATGGTTTATGATTCGTTATAATATTTTTTTTTTATAAAAAATACACATAAATTAAAAATTATTTTAATCTCATGATTTTAATCCATGAACTAAACGGAACCTGAGGCATGGTGCTTAGAACCCGTCCTGTCTGTATATTGGGCATGACCTGAATAAAATGCTGCTGGCTGTCACTAATAATTTTTTTTACTCCTAAATACGTTTAAGGTTTGGGCTTTTCCCGAACTCTCAGACCCCGTCTCGTTGTCGTCTCTGCAACCGTCACGACAGACATTTGTCGGCCATGCCAATCAGTTCAGCTCACTCCCCCACCTTGAAGAAAATGAGGTAAAAATTAGAAAACCCAAATAAATAATAAATAAAATAAATCCCTGCCCTCACACTTTTACCCTTTTTCCTTTCGCCATTTTTGTTCCGTCCGATCTCCAAAAAGAGAGCTCGCTTTCGGTATCAAGATATACAAAGCTGAAGCTTTCATGGCAGGATGGTCAACTTTAGCAAATGGGTCTGCTTTAGATTCCCTTGAAAATGTCTGTGCTCATCGGAAAAAGGGTCTCGTTGTTGGGTGTGTTGATAATGATCATGATAGCGATGAATCCGACGGTGGTGGTGTTGAGTTTAGGCTACGGAGGTTGTTTGATGAGGTCATGTCCGTCTTCCTCAAGGCGATTGGTGAAAAGGGTAGGTTTAGGCCTGTCCCGGCAATGCTTCCATGTGAGAAATCTGTTGATTTGTTCGAGTTGTTTTGGGTTGTGAGAGAGAAAGGTGGGTATGAATCCGTGACAAAGAAAAGGTTGTGGGGTTTTGTGGCCAAGAAATTGGGGTTGGGTTTTGGGGCCATGGCGGCCGTGAAATTGGTGTACTTCAAGTATCTGAGTGAGTTAGAGCAATGGCTTAACAATAGGGGAAAGTGTGGGAATTTTGGGCGCTTGTCTTTGGAGCTAGAGACCGAGTTTAGAGATTTGTTCTCCCATTGTAGGCTTGTTCAAGTTGAGAAGAGAAAAAAATTGTGCTTGAAAGATGCCAAATGTTCAGGCTTTGTCAAGTGTAATGGTGATAATGACGAAAAGTTTGGTGACAAAGATCACGATGAATCTGATCATCTTATGGTCTTGAACTCTAGTGGTGATGACAAGAAAGAAAAGGACAATAAGAGAAAGAGAGAGTCTTTGTCGGGACTAGTGAAGTGGTTGACAGAGGTGGCAAAGCATTCGGATGATCCTTCCATTGGGGTAATAGGAGGGCCTTCTGTGTTGAAGGAGCATAAGGAGGGGAAAGAGAATCAGGGCAAGAGAGATGTTGTTAAGAAGGCATGTGAATTCCAACAATGAAGAATCTCTATTGCAGGTAAAAGTTTGTATATCCTTTGTGTTTTCTCTATTGTTTTTCAATTTGTCCTAGTGTGATTTCTTGAGGTCTAGAGGTTAGATCCGCTTGGTCATGCACAATTTATTTCAACCTTTTTGTGGAGTCTGAATGAAACTTAACATTTGATCTGGTTATCGCAGATAGTTGAATTGCATAAGCTTCTGTTATCTACTATGAGATTTTTTTTAGTGCTAACAAATTTTCAATGCTCCTTCATGTTTGTCTTTCTTGTAGTTAAGTTGTTCAAAACATCGTAAACAGATTCTTTAAAATAAAGTGAGTGTGTGTGTGTGTGTGTGTGTGTGTGTGTGTGTCTCTCTCTCTCTCTCTCTCTCTCTCTCTCTCTCTCTCTCTCTCTCTCTATATATATATATATATATATATATGTTGTTGGAGATGCAAGGTATTTTTTCCTCCTTTTATTCTTGAGTAAACACCCCCCTTCCTTCTAAACCCCGGAAAACTTGAATATAATGAAAGTGCATTTTTCATTGAGAAAATAAACCAGTTAGAGGAATCAACTAAAGGGTATTAACAGCACCAAATTATGTACAAGTTTCACGTGTCTAGTGTCTTACATCCATGGTGATTAGATTTATATTGTTGTTCCTATTGTTGCCTTGTCGTTGGAACCATGACCAATGTTTCTGGCAGTTCGTGTCTAATGTTTGGAGTAAATGGATTCTCAAGAGTCTAGGGTCTGGAAAAAGAAGTCTACAACGGTGATTCTTTTCCTGTAATTTTACTTAGTACCATATGTAGACGAAATATTTGCTGATTTGATGAAAGAGATCATGCTCTGACTTGCAGAAGAAGCTAAAGATGCATCCGTCTATGTACGAGGATAATATTGCTCTCAGCCACCATTCTTCGGAGAGATCAAGGTGCAGCAAAAGGCTTACAAATTTGTCGAAATCTCGTTCATGTTCTTGTTGCAATCCATGTTCACCAAGTTCCCCTAAACTGATAAGTCCTCGTAAAGTAGAGGTGGATAATGAGCCTAAGGAGGAAGAAGTTATAGAAGTTGATTTGCCAGTTTTAGCTAAGGAACTCTGCCCTTTGGAGGATGAGTCCGTCAAAAAGGATGTTTCTGTGGGGCCCCTCTTTCAAGCTGATGTCCCAGAATGGACTGGTGTGGTATATGAGAGTGATCCTAAATGGCTAGGCACTCGAGTATGGCCGAAGGAATGCAGAGAACACAAATACCCTATTAAGGAAATAAATACTATTGGCAAGGGAAGACCGGAATTTTGTGGCTGTCCACTTCCAGGATCTGTTGAATGTGTAAGATTTCACATTGCTGAGGCAAGGATGAAACTAAAGCTCGAACTGGGTCCGGCATTTTATCATTGGAGGTTTGACCATATGGGCGAGGAAGTTTCACTTCGGTGGACAGCTGAACAGGAAAAGAGGTTCAGAGAAATAGTGAAATCAAATAAGTACTTTGGGGACAGGAAAATCAGATGGTTTCCTATGAAGACGATGGAAAACATGGTAAGCTACTACTTCAACGTGTTCCTTGTCCAGAAAAGACGTTACCAAAATCGGGTAACTCTAAAAAATATTGATAGTGATGATGATGAAAAAGAGTTTGGATCTATAGGCGGCCCTTTCGGGAATAATGCAGTTGATCTTTCAGGGTCCAACATGCTGTCATGTGTTCAGAATAAGCAGTGCACCGATTTGGAATAAACAAAATGCAAGCAGGAGTTAAACCCCTTCTGAACTATGCAACTTTCTCTCCAGATTTTAAAGTGTTCAAGGTAATAACAGTCATGAGTGATGCAATTTTGAGGGTAGTGCCTGAAGTGGTGGAAGAGACTTGGTCATTTTCTTGAAGACCCCAGAAGAGAATTTGCAGAATTCAGTTTTGGAGCTGACCAAGTAAGCCTGGAATGTTGTATTCGAAAAATATATTACTGATTAGATAGCTCCATTGTAAATACCTTGTGCAGCACCAGGTTTTTCTTCTAGACACACCCATTTGGCCATATTTTTAGATAAAGGAAATACTAGGGGAATATACACAGTCGTTCGAGTTGTATTTTCTTTTTCTTTTTCTTTTACCCTTATGAGATGACTATGCGGCATTTTGTTTTGCTAATGTTTTAACATCATGTGTTTTTACTTGCTTGTGGATCTCTCTCTATATTATAGCTTTCATTTTTTATTTTTTATTTTCTAGGTGATAGGTGATGAGTGAGATTCTACTGCTGGAAAAGGAACCAAAATTTGAGTAAATTTTCTTTGAGATTTAGTAAGTTTCTACAATCTAAAAAAAAAAATCTCTAGAGTTGCAAAATGCCGTGTCAAAACAATCTCTCCTGAGATAGTAGCATATATAAAACAAAACTATATCGCTAGACAGAGTAGCATAACAGAGTAGCATAATCCCATGTCATACCTACACCTAGTAAGGCAATTATAAGATGACAGTATAGATACCATTGGGGCTATTAACCCACGCCAAAAAAGAAAAGAAAAAATTAAAAAACGTACCCAAATCAATTAGTATCGGGTTTGTAAACCTCAAGAGATTTGAAATAACACCTAAACACAAAATAAAACTAATTAATCGAAATGAAAAGGAGAAAAAAGAAATAATAAAGCCCAATACCTGGGTGAGAGCAAAGCTGACGATGCAGCCACATACGCGACATTTCAAGGCCTCCGCATTGTCGAGTGGCAAATCAGTTGGCCCCTTCGCTGGCGTCAAGTGAAAACGCTGATTGAACACTGCCAATTCCTAGCCTAAGACCTCGGTGAGCCCAAGAAAGAAGCCCGGATTGGCCACTGCTTTGGTGTGGCAAACCGAGCAGGTCAACAGGCGGCCGGAGAAGAAGAGTGCCATTTAGTTACGAGTTACAAAGAGCAGTAGTAGGAACTAGAATTCGAATGACAAGAAAAGTGAACAACGAACGAAAATACCGAGGCATGTGTATCACACAGTTTCCTTAAAGCATACCCACCTCCTCACTGTACGTACACGTGGATCATTAGGCGTTTGCCTCTTAGAATACAACGGCTTACTAGTAGCAATGGCGCACAACGATATTGTCATAGTTTTTCTTATACAGTATTTTCACAACCAGCCAAACTGCTCAATAAACATCATCTGGACTTTGCTTCATACCTCAACGGCGTTTTCAAAACAAAATAGTTCTCTCTCATAACAAAGAGCTCTTGTTTTGTTAAAATGATTATTCAAGCATCTCGAATGTACAAATGCAGGAAGATTCAACTACATGGTATGTAAACTCCAATGGCATAGACTTGGAATTGGAAGAAAGTAAGCCAACCTTCAGCAAGGGAATGAAGGTTGAAGTCAGAAGTGGCGATGAAGGTTTCCGAGGCTCTTGGTACGTACACAGCAAAGATTGTTGGAGCCAGCACCGACAAGTAGTTTATGGTGGAATATGAGACATAGAGAACAATGATGAAACCAAGTACTGCTTTAAGAAGTGATGTAATGTGATGAACATAAGGCCTTCTCCCCCCAGAAATTCAACGCGTCTACCCTTTTTGCGGTCTGTGAAAACATTGATGCATGGTATAAATGTAAGCTCTGTTTGGTTCACGAGTTCAACTCAGTGATTTTGATTAATTGGCGGGAACTTTGTAAGAGAAGAATATTTTGAATTCAAATTCTTTGTGAGATCAAAAACACCGTAAAAGAATCAGAATCATAGGTTTAAATATAAGAACTAAATGAGGCCATAATGATGGGTGGTGGGTAGGTCGCACATCCAACGTTCTTTCTGGCTCCAAGTATATAGTCTGCTTTTGGACTACTAACGAGGCATCAGAGTTTGATCATTGTAACTTAAGCCTCATAAGGAATGGGTAGATGGAAAATTGGGTACACGCTTCCATGGTATGACTTTTGTATCTGAATATTGCATAGTATTTAAAAAAAAAATTACATGGTTTGGCTTCTCAAGTGGTGTAAGTAGTATCAATGAAATTGCCCATAATTGGTGATTTGTTTCCCAACAATTAGATGTTGAAAAACATATATATGAGCAGCTCGGGGAGGCTAGAACTTTAACATTTAGGTTTCCATTCATTTCACTGATTTAAGTTTAGAATTCGAATTTTATTACAGTAAAAAACTCTCAGAAATAATCACATCTAACTTTTTTACTACAGTAAAAAATTCTTACATAAAATCACATTTTAACTCGAATTAAAAACTCAATCAGCGAATTAAACGGGCCAAGTGTTTAGAGGCTTGTAAAATGGTACTAGTGATCAGATTTCAGCAGTCAAATTTTCATTGGATGCCAACAACTATCTTATAGCCGTGGTGCTCCTGCAGTTTTTGCCCTCTTCTTAACTTTTTCATCTATAGACACACCCATTTAGCCATATCCTCAGATAAAGGAAATACTAAGAGGGATATACTCATTCGAGTTGTACTTTTATTATTATTATTATTATTATTATACTATGTGGTCTTTTGTTTTGTTAATGTTTTATCATCACGTGTTTGTTACTTGTTTTTATCTGTCTTTTTTCTCTCTAGTTCTCCTACCTCAGCTTCTGAATCTCTCTCTCTCTCTCTCTCTCTCTCTCTCTCTCTCTCTCTCTCTCATGTAGATGGACTATCAATTTTCGAACTCTGCAGACACCTAAGTTGCTGTCTTTTAAATGCAAACTGCAAAGGTTTTTCATCCACTCCCCTGCAGATAAGATACGGTCATCTTTGCAGTAATGTGGTGAAAGTCACGAGACACATGTCACAAGTGGCTCTCTGAGCTGGCTTATAGTATTGGCTTATGCATAATGTATAGCTTTCATTTTTTATTTTCTAGGTGATAGGTGATGAGGGTCCACATCCGCCCTTTATTTGATACGGTTCCGAATTCGATTTGATATTAAACATTGTGTTTTATATCAGTATCTTTTTTTTTTTTTTCATATATTCTACCATAAAATTTTCCTAATAATTGAAACCTCTTCTCTTTCTCCACTTTGATTAAAAAGAAATTTAAAAAAAAGGGTCTAAAATAACTAAAAGATAATTGGTCGAGGGCCAATGATTGTAATTTGGAACCTTTTTCTCCTTTCTTCTTTTGGATTGAAGTATCGTGTATATTATAATAGGCTTGAGGACGTCATGTCGTTTCTCTTTTTGAACGTGAAAATTCAAATGAAGTGCCTAAAAAAGACCTAAACCAAAAAAGTAGGTACTTGTTGGCTCCATTCATTTCGCTGATTCGAGTTTATAATTTGAGTTCTGTTACAGTAAAAAGTTCTCACAAATAATCACATCTAACTTTTTTACTACAGTAAAAAGCTCTCACATAAAATCACATCTCAACTCAAATTAAAAATTTAAATCAACGAACTAAACGGGTCATGTTAATGCCTCCATAGCTTTTTCCTCAATTGAGAAAAACTATTTATTTTCTCTCCCTTTTATTTGTTTCTAAATTTGACCGTTCAGTGTCTATAACCTCTATAAATGATAATATTTTGTGATAATATCAATAATGAAACCTTCATGCATTTTCTTTTTCTTGATGCATTTATTTGCTTCACTGAAATGCTCTGCCATTTAACGTCTATAACCTCTTTTTACAACAAAGTTATTTACCTTATTTTGATTTCGTGTTTTTATCTGATAGCCCGACATGTTCATTGTCAATGTGTTGGAAACATTTAATTTTGATTTCCTGTCATTGTTTCTACACAATCGTATAAGGGCATGGTTTTAGCACTTCTGTCTCTTGGAAACTAGTTCTTTTGGAGTGTAACTTGAGTGTAATTTTTGAGTTGAATTTGAGTTAGAACTTGAGTTGAAGTTAGAACTTTAGGGCATGTTCTTTTGTCTAAAAAACTCAAAAAAAGACAACTCGAGTTCCAAATTTATTCAAGTTCACGTTCTTTTAAGTTTCAACTTTATTCAATTTTACTCAACTTTATTCAAGTTACAACTTTAACTCAAGTTATAACTCAAATTCAACTAAAAAATTACACTCAAATTACACTCTAAAAGAACGACCCCTTAATAAAATTGAGTAAAATTGAATAAAGTTAAAACTTAAAAGAACGTGAACTTGAATAAAGTTAAAACTTGAGTTGTCTTTTTTTGAGTTTTTTAGACAAAATAACATGCCCTAAAAATACATACATCTCAACAAAAAAATAAAAAAAATAAAAAATAAAAAGCGTACTCTCTTTGATATCTCTACACTAAAATATATCACAAGAAGGCCATTAATTGTACTTGCAAAATGTTAGGACAATATGAACCTACTTTTTTCTCTCTCTCTCTCTAATCAGTCCATCTTAATAGCTATAATGTATAAATTGAACGACCTTCAAACAATTTAAAATAGTAACATAAAATAAAATTGAATTATATATTCTAGAAACTAGCTTGAAGAAGGTCACTTTCATTTGAGGTGGAAAACCATACGTTACATTCATTCTCTTGTGAGAAGCAAGAGATTATTACTTCATCGTGTAAAACTCGGCGGCTAAAAAGCCTAACTCAAAATAATTGTTATTCAAATTTTCCTTTGAAAAAAAAGTTTTTATTGACTTTCCCCCAAAAAGGAAAAAAAAATCCTTATGTGACACAACAAATATTCCATTGCATATGCATGTATGTGTGTGTAAGAATCTGTTTCTTTATATCTTTTAAGGAAGAATAATGTTAGAAATATCAATTCAAATGTTAACTTTTATTTATCAATTGATGTGACATGTGAGTTGTCATTTTTCTATTGATAGATGTTTAAAATATTATCATATTAATTAAAAGATGACAACTCATATGTCACATCAATTAGTATATAAGAGTTGATATTTAAATTGGTATCCTTAGCATTACTCTTTAAAGAATAATTTCTTAATCTTAACATTCCTTCAATTATTGGAGCTATTTTGTCTTCAATATAAATTTCTACATAAGTTGCACCAAGCAAAATATTTCCCAAATTAATAGTTGTTTTTTCAATAATAGGAATTTTTGTTGGTACTATAGGATTTTTATTTTCACGTTATAGTGTTGTTTGTGCATATATAACTAAAAAATAATAGATTATTGGGTGTGCGTGTTATGGATGGCTGTATTTTTTAAATTTGAAGGGCAAAATAGATTATAGTAAAATTGAGCAACAAAAATATTTGGTAATAACAAATTATATTACTTATTAAAAAAATTAAAAAAATTCTCTCTCGTTTTATTTTTCCCTCTGAGCTATTTCCTATAATCTCCCCAAAATTTTCGTGACAATCGAACTATAAAGAACCTGTAAAATAAATAAATAAAATACCTAAGGAAAAGAAATTAAAGGAAGTACTTGGACATAAATTTACTTCTGAAAAAGCCGGCTTATATAAATAGAGTTTCCAGGTTTTACTTGTTTTCTACATGTCCGAACCGCTTTTGCTCTCTGCCAATTTCCCCCTCCCTCTCTCTCACCGAATAATACCCACAAAACCCAATCCAAAAAAAACAAAAGAAAAAAGAAAACCTGGGAAAAAATGTCTTCTCCGAGCAAACGCCGCGAGATGGATTTGATGAAACTGTAATATTCTTGGAACAAAATTTCTTAGATGCTCATACTGTTTTTCTTTTGATTTTTTTTTTTGCCGAATTTTTTGGTGTTGATTTTTGTTTTTTCATTTTTTTTTGGTTAAAATCAGGATGATGAGCGATTACAAGGTGGAGATGATCAACGATGGCATGCAAGAGTTCTATGTCGATTTTCATGGACCCAAAGAGAGTAAATCCATTTCTGGGGTTTTTTTTTATACTTTTTTTATTTTTATTTTTTATTTTTGCAAATTTGAGCTTATTGGATTCTGGGTTTCCACTGATTTGGATACGCATAGACTTCTCACTATATATTCTTTTAGATGCACACAACCTTTTTAGTGGATATTGATCTTGACTTATTTTTTTGGTCAGTTTTAGTCTTTGAATTTTTTGCAAATTTATCTTCTCTGTTTCAATTTTGTTTTGGTGCTTGATTCTGCAAAAAAACTTAATTTATTTGCTCAGTTTTACTTGTTCTGATTGTTCATAGTTGGGTTGCAGTTATGCCCTGTACTTTTCTCCCTCCGAAATTGCCAAAAAAAGTAACCATCTATGGAGAAATGAGAATAATGGAGGTTTTTTTTTTTAATATTCTTTTTATTTATTTTTTATGGAACTTGTTTAGGTCCTTATGAGGGAGGAGTATGGAGGATAAGGGTGGAGCTCCCAGATGCTTATCCTTATAAATCTCCATCTATTGGCTTTATCAACAAAATCTACCATCCAAATGTTGATGAAATGTGAGTTAGAGAAGTGTTGAACATTCCATCTTTTTGGATTTTTCATATCAATTCTAGAGATTTGTGTGTGAATTTAGTTTTCAAGTGTGGCTAATTTGGAGTTCTTTGATGAGTTCCAGGTCTGGCTCAGTTTGTTTAGATGTTATCAACCAGACTTGGAGCCCCATGTTTGGTAAGCTTATTCATTTTCCTTTTTTCCTGCTATGTTTGAATTTTCTTTTCTTTTTTTTTTTGGAGGTTTTTCAATATGTTATTATTACTGAATTTCTTGTGCTCCATGGTATTTGTCTTAGCTTCTGAAATTGAGGGGGTTTTTTGCTGTTTCCTTTTTAATTTTGTTTCAGACTTGGTGAATGTGTTTGAAGTATTTCTTCCTCAACTCCTTTTGTATCCGAATCCATCTGATCCATTGAATGGAGAAGCGGCTGCTCTCATGATGCGCGATCGTACTACATATGAACAAAGAGTAAAAGGTAGTGATCTTTTTCAAGTTTTTGCAACTATTAGTACATGATGATTCTTGCTTAGGTTCCCAGTTGGCTTGCTAGTGACTTTCCTTGCATTACATTTTCTATTCTTTTCGCTCTCTAAGCTACGTTATCAGGTGCCACTTCTGTTGGATTGTAAGTGCTACATTCTCACTTCACTATTATTCTTTTTTTTTTAATTGAACTTTCAGAAGTTTTCAAGCTCTTAACTATGTAAAATATGTTAATTTATGTCTATAATTTCCAGCTTTAATTCAATAAAGCCGTCCTTAGTTCAGCATCGTTGCAAATGTGTTTCTGTTGGCTTTTACCCTTTTCACCTTGGCCTATGTCTTGGACAGTCAAGTCGTCACCTTCGATTTTTCAAGTCAGAGTATAAACATTTGTGGTTTGCTGATCTATTATTTGTAATAAAAATCATCTAAGTTTCAGAATTTAGAAATTTGAAGCATTAGCAGCTAAGCGGGCCATCAACATCTTAGAGTTTGTTTCTCTTTTGCGTCCTCAATTTGTAAACATCCAAAATAAGTCGGTATAGATTTTCATCTGTGTAGATAGGCGATAATTGTGTTAATAATACTTGAAAGCAGAGTATTGTGAGAAATATGCCAAGTCAGAAGACATAGGGGCAGCTGAGGAGGAGAAATCGAGCGATGAGGAGCTGAGTGAAGATGAATATGCATCTAGTGATGAGGGGATGGCTGGAAAGGCTGATCCTTAACTGCAAATGAAATGTTGGAAATCATTTACTTCGTATTTCTTTCTGTTTTGTACATCATATATTCTGCTCCAGGAAAATGAAACCCCAGAAAACTGAAGGCTTGTGGAAAAAAAAAAAATTCCTTGCCTCCTCTGGTCGGCTCTTTTATTTTCCATGGTGGTTGTGTAAATTAATCAAACTATATTTAAAGTTTGAAATATTCATTTACTGTTGGAACTATATAACATCTGTATATTTGCTCTTTGCTGATTCTTGCTCACATAAACCGTTGATTAAGGTGTTTTTTTTTTAAGATAGACTTGGTGAAGTTGATAACATACTGGAAGGAAACAAAATGTCAAAATCTACAATTGTTGGTTAAGTTTTCTTTCTGTTTTTTTTTTTTTTCAACGAAATGACTAAAACTGAAACACGGATAAGGTGTTTGAGGACTTGGGGATGGTTTATGCTTTGTTTTTCATTTTCCTTTTGCTTCATTCAGCTGCATGCAATTCATAACATATTAATGAAGTCAACTGCTTTGGTGTAAGCAAAATGAGTTTTTTCACCATCTACATATGAATAAGGTTCTAAGGTTCTAATCTCGGTAAGAATTAAACTTCTAATCTAGAAATCACTTCTAGTAGCTTGCTCCATACAAGGTTCAGAAAAGCCAGAACGTTCAAATAAACTGTCATTTAAGTATAATACTACTATAGCTTTTTTTGTTTTTTTTCCCGGTTCAAAGCTAAAATTATGCTTTTGTTATGGAATTTCTTTGTAAGAATTAAAACAAAGTGGAATGCATCAAACCAAGCCCCTATAGCTCAGTGGTAGAGCGTCAGTCTTGTAAACTGAAGGTCCGTAGTTCGATCCTGCGTGGGGGCACTAGAATTTTTATCATTTTTTTTTAAATATTTTGTGTGTTTACGTGTTTTTACCATTCTTGCGGGCCCACAAACAGCAATCAATGGGCACAGTTTTGCCGCAAATTTTGACCTGCGCAATCCTTGGACGGCCTCTAAGATCAGAATCTCACTTTTTAACTTTCAACGTGTCGATAATTCATTGGCAGTAAATACCAGCTGTGGCTGTGAAATGTAATAATAAGATGTCATATAATTTTTCCTGCAAAGAAAATCTGAGTTGTTCTTCTGGTGGTGACAGTGACATTTAAATAGTTTTCAAGCTTAAAAAATAAATAAATAAACTGATAAGTTCATGGACCGTCAAGTTTCAACTTTCAAGTCATCCACTAACATATAGCAATTGTGCCTCATTAAACCAACTTTTGAAATGATGCATGTCACATCCATTTTTTAAATTTAAATTTAGAATTTAAATCATATTATAATAAAAAAAAATTAAAAAAAATTATATTTTATTATTTTATTATAATAAAAAAAATTCACATAAAATTATATCTTAATGTGAATGAAAAATTTAAATTAGTAAACAAAATGGATCCTTAATTTTAAATTTCTACCAAAAAAATGATGTCATTTTGAAAAAAAAAAATAACCGAAAAGGTGAGCTTTTTTATTCTGATATTTCAACCAATAAAACCACAATTTTGTTCAAATGTGGAACTTGGAACTGTTTTGTTGTTCCCAAGTACAAGTAAAATGATGTCCTTTCAGATATATTCAACCAAATGATTGTTATTTAGCATGATGATTAGTCCGATAAATAAATAAATAGATTTCGACGTTTCATAAGGGATAATTCCGCTAGGGTACGAAGAAAAAAAAATATATTTCTATTTATTTCAACGGGTTAAATCTCCACTCTCTTAAAAAAAAAAAAAAAATTCCACATGAATCTGAGCTCGTTTAGTTCATGAATTAAAATTATTTTTAATTTATGTATATTTTTTGTAAGAAAAAATACTGTAGCGAATCATTAATCATGATTCGAATCAGAGAATGAATTCTCTAACTAAACGGGATCTTATTCTCTTTATGAGAGAGTGGAGAGGATTATAGAACATTTTGAAAAAGAAAATCCTCAAGACGTATCATACTTAATCTTATATATATATATATATAT